TGGAAAGGTTGGCCATTGGAGTCCACCCAGAGGTGCGATCTACTCCTGAAAAATTAGCCACAGAAAGCCCTGTGTTTTACTCTGACACACGTGGGGTCGCCATGAATCGGAATCAACTCGACAGAGACTCTCAGGATTGGAGGAGGCCTTAAATGGGCTCAGCCAGTTCATTCCTTACCCAGGTCCTGACTTCCTTCTACAGTAGCCTTAGCCAGTGGTCATTCAGAACTTCCAGAGGTGGAGATTCCTCCTTCCAAGTCAGCCCCTTCTATCTTTGGACCACTGATTATCTCGCTGACTCTGTCATGGCCATGTACCCCTGTTTAACTGCTTTGTGACTGTTTGCCTTATCTTCCTGTATGATTGATCAGATACTCCATAAGAATGAGGATCAATTCTTATTGATTTTCCCTCAGGGCTACACAGATGGGCAGGTGTCTGAGCCTGTAAGCCATTGCAATGAAACCCTTCATTAGAACATGAGGGAGCACCAAGCAGAGCTGAAAATCGGGCAATTCACATAGGAGTGACACTGGGCAGATGTGACCCTTTGGGAGGCCATCAGCAGCTAAGCCATGCACTGAAGTGTCTCCTAGGCATCTGTGCAGCTCCATCCCACCCTTCCTCACTTGTGACCCTCACTCTTGCTGCCGCCGTGGGCCTGCTTCTCCTGTTTGCTCCATCGCTGCTGTCTGGTTTTCCTCTTCTTGAGTTATGAGCTGGGAATCTCAATAGTGGATAAACTGCCCTCTGAGAATGTGCCTACAATAATCACCCACCACCCATCTGTCTGTTGTACTGTGGTGATTTGTGTGTTGGCTATAATGCTGGAAGCTATGCCACCACTATTTCAAATACCAGCAGGGTCACCAGTGATGGACAGGCTTCAGCAGAGTTTCCAGGCTAAGATGGACTAGGAGAAAGGCCTGGTGATCTACTTCTGAAAATTAGCTGATGAAAACCTTATGGATCAGGACAGGATATTGTCCAATGGGCTTCAACTTCCCAACAATCATGAGGATGGCACAGACCAGGCAGCCTTTTGTTCTGTTGTACATGGGGTCACTATGAGTTGGAGCCAACTTGATGGCAACTAACAACAACAAAATTAATGCAAGTGGCACCAAGAGAGGATTTTTTTTTTCTTTTTTTTTTTTTGCTATTGGCTATGAAATTTTTTTTTATTTTTTCCCATACAAAAATTTATACATACATTGTTAGTGACTCTAATTGCTCTCCTCATACTGTGACAGCACACTCCTCCCTTCCAATCCTGATTCCTCATGCCCATTCAGCCAGCTCCTAACCCTCTCTGGCTTCTCATCTCACCTCTGGAGAGAAGCTGCCCGTTTAGTCTGTTGTGTCTGTTGAGCTAAGAGGCACACTCCTCATGAGAATCGCTTTATGTCCCACAGTCCAGTCTAATCCCTGTCTGAAGAGTTGGCCTCAGAAATTGTGTTAGTTCTGGGCCGATAGAGAATCAAGAGGCCATGCTTTCCAGGGTTCCTCCAGTCTCAGACCATTAAGTCTGGTCTTCTTACTAGACTTTGAGTTCTGTACCCCACCTTTCTCCTGCTGCATCTGGGACTCTCTGTTGTGTTCCCTGTCAGGGTGGTCATTGGTGGTAGCCGGGCACCATCTAGTTCTTCTGGTCTCAGGCTGATGAAGTCTCTGGTTTATGTAGCCCTTTATGTCTCTTGGGCTAACACTTTCCTTGTGTCTTTGGTGTTCTTCATTCTCCTTCACTCCAGGTGGTTGGGACCAATTGATAAATCTTAGATGGCCGCTTGCAAGCTTTTAAGACCCGAGGGAGGATTTTTAAGAGCTTTGAGATGTGCAGCATGTTTGGACCTGGAAGAATGAGCATGTGGCCTCCGTTGTAGCTGCTCCAAGACTTTGCAAGGTTTTGACTGCATTCCAGATACTTAAGGGCATCAAATTAAGTGATTTCTTGATAAATGAGAGTTTGATGTAGAATTCTTTTGAAGTAATGTACTTTTGTTACTTTCGTGTCTGTGCAGTGATACTGGGAAGGTATTTCTGAGGAGGAGTTCTGCTGGATATATTTGGGTGATTAGTTAGGACATGTCTGAAATTAGTACCATGCATTTCCATAAGATTAATGTGCTGATGCTCTCTTTTTTTCCCAAAGTAGTTTATCTACTGTGTTTGATATTTATTTTACATTGTAAACTTCCGAAAGTACATAAACATAAACTTAGACTGAATAGAAGCCAGATTCATAGAAATCTAAAATCATGAATCAGAAGAGTTTAGAGATTTTTTTTTTAATAAAATTACACTGCCAAAGAGAACTCTAAACAGAGCTTTTACAACAAAGAGAATGGAGACATGAATAGACATGTTGAGGCCAAGAGAAAAAGGAGGCTTTGCTAGAAATAGTGTTTTTTTTTTAGTTAGCCTTTTAAGGGGGGTTTGGATTTTATTCTGAGTGTGATGGGGAGTGATTGGAGGGTTGAAAGCAGGAGAGTGCTCTGCTGCCTCTGGCTACAGTTTGGGGGTGCAAGGCCAGGAGTACTTGGGAGGCCATTGTGGTGGTCCAGGGTGGACAGGAAAGATGGAGACATGATGGATTCAGTGGAGGTCTTGCAGGAAGCTCTGACAGCACTAACAGATAGATTTGTTATGGGAACAGGGTGATAAAAGTACAGCATGAGTCCCACTGCGCCCCTCAGTGGTGGTGATGCCCTGTGCTGAGATGGGGAGTGGTAGGTGGGATGGCATGAGCATGAGTAAAGACCAAGAGCTCTACTTTGGTCACACTGACTTTGAGGTGCCTGTTGGCATCTGAGTGGAGATGTCAGGAGTCTGGTAGGTATACAACCACCTGGCTCAGGAGTTTGTTCTGGCCTGGAAAGAACCATTTAGAATTGGGTCAGAAATTGAATTTAAAATCAAGGGACTGGATGGACTCACGTAGAGACAGTGTGTGCAAAGAGAGTGCAGGAGTGAACTCTGAGTGGTTCCACACTTAGAGGTTGAACACCCTAGAAGGAGCAGCAAAGGAGTGGCCCTGAGGTAGGAGACTGTGGTCACCCACAGTGAGAGAAAATTGTTCTAGAGGGAGCAGTTAAGTTGTCTCATGTGATGCTGAGGGGCTGAGCTAAAATGGACAAAGAGAAGTAACAACTGAATTTGACAGCATGGGGGTCATTGGCAACCTGGTCCGGAGCAATTTAAATTGAGTGGTGTTGACAGAAGCCCCATTAGATTGGAGTGAGGTGTCAGTGGGAAGTGAGGAAGTGGAGCCAGGGAGTGTAGCAATTCCTTGAGAAGTTTTTCTATAAAAGGGAACTGAGAACCAGGACAGTGGTAGAGAGAGATGTGGAATCAAGAAAAAGACAGATAATTGCTAGGTAAGTATGACAGAGGAGAAAAGGGCCAGGGGATTTTGCATGATTTTCGAGAAACGACTTGAGGTGGGCAGTGTTTTTATGCTGTTCCCCAAGTTCCTGGTTGAGTATACACATGTGCCTAACACTGTGATTTGGAAAGATGCCTCCAGAAGCCACTGAGTCTTCCTTGGGCATCAGAACAAAGAGCTCAGACATGATTCCCCCCAACTATGGCACTGGAGGCTGAGCAGGTAGTTGGCTGGTCATTGATTGATTGACCTCGTAATTAATTGATTCAGTCATTCAGTGAGCAGACATCTCAGAACATCTACCCTGTGCCAAGTATAGTTCTAGGCCCTGCAGATACAATGCATATAAGCTCCCCCCTCCTTGAAGGAGGAGTCCCTGGGTGGTATAAATGGTTAACACACTCAGCTACTGACCAAAAGGTTGGTGGTTCAAGTCCACCTGCCGTCACCTCAGAAGCAAGGCCTGGTGATCTACTTCCAAAATATCAGCCATTGAAAAACCCTGTGGAGCGCAGTTCGGCAGTGACACACATGGGGTCACCACGAGTCGGAGCTGAGTCGACAGCAACTGGTTTTTCCCCTTGAAGGAGCTTTCTGCACCTCCAAGCAAACTCCTGGGTGTGGGACATGCAACCGAAGCTGGGCTTGTTGTTTATTAGATGCAGAATTTACCATTTAGAGGAGATAGTTGGTGTGTCAATTACTTGAAGAGGAGGGGAGCTAAGATCATCAGGAGACCATCTCTGCCCACAAAGGCAGGTTCTCAGGAAGGAAGCGGGGTCAAGGGAGGAACGACCATGGTCAAAGGGTTGCAGAGTATCTGGAGGTATGGGGAGGAAGCTGACCTGGAAATCCCCAAGGCTATGGTAACTCCAAAACTAGCAGGGCTGGAATTAGGAAGCTGTGGCAGCTTCAGTTGGGCAGTTTGGAATTTTTTTTCACAGTGCTTGGTGACCTGGGGGTGAGTAACCTGTGACCTTCCTGGGGGTACACAGCATGAGAAGGCTCTGCAGCTGTGTGAAGGAAGGCCTCTGAATTTCTGGACTGTGTGTGGCTCTTTGTGAAATGCTGAGCCCTGGGCCCAGTGGGTATGGGTTTTAAGGTCCTGGGGAGATGTTTCTGCCCACGGGGGACTTCATTCATGTTCCTCCTTATCCTTGGAGCTAGCTTTGTGACCTTGTGCAAGTCATTTAACCTTGTGTGCTTGTTTTCTTACTAGAAAAGTAGGAATTGTGATTGTCCTTACCTCACAATGTTATGGTCAGGATGAATGACATAACAGACTCCACAAATGCTAACTCGTTTGTTGAGGAACTGCCGGGTGTGAGCTCTGAGACCAAGTACCCTGGGTTCAGGTTCTGGTTCTATTTCTTACTAGCTGTGTGATCTTGGACAGGTTACTTTGTGCCTCAATATCCTGATCTGTACAACGGGCATAATAATAGTACCTGCTTCTTCGGTTCCTGTGAGGATCTAATGAGGCAATCTGTAAACTACTGAGAAGAGTGACAAGGTAGAAATAAGCTTTAAGTGCCAGCTGCTGTTCAGAGGATGATGCTTTCAGATGTACAAGGCATATCTGCACCTACCTGACAGTTTTAACTTTTCTTCCCAGTTCCGCCTGGTGGTAAAGACAGCCCTGAAGCTGCTGCTTGTCTTTGTGGAATACTCAGAGTCAAACGCACCTCTTTTAATCCAGGCTGTCTCTGCTGTTGACACAAAAAGAGGTGAGTAGTCCCTACCCTCCTTATTTCATCAAGGTAAAAATGTCTAATGTGGGACCGCTTTCACATTTTATATATTTGAGACAGAATTAAGTGGCCATTTCATCCCCCATGGAGTCCCTGGGTGGCACAAATTGTTAAGCACTCAGCTACTAACCAAAAGGTTTGTGATTCAAGTCTACCCAGAGGCACATTGGAAGAAAGTCCTGGTGATCTACTTCCAAAAGATCACAACCACTGAAAACCCTACAGAGTGCTGTTCTACTCTGAAACACACGGGACTGCTATGAGTTGGAATCGACTCGATGGCAAATGGGTTGGTTGGTTGGTTGGTTGTTTTTTTCATTCCCTATGTGTGGACTTCTTACTGCAGGAACCATATTTTTTAGAATAATAAGTGTACAATGATTGGGAACGGAATGTGATTTGACAGTTAAAGGAAAGTACCTGTGGACTTACACAGGACAGATCAGAAATTGAACTTATCTTTATCCCCTCACCTCAGCCCCTACCACATGGAACCAGTTCCTTCTCCTATTTTCCCCATCTTGTTTAGGGTCATCCTGGCTTGCTTCCTCTCCTCACCTCATGCTGTGCTTTATTGATTCTGATTCCTAGGTCTTGACTGAACCTTCCTCCTTCCTTCCCTCCATCCCGTTGACCCTGCTTTACTTGGGGCCTCTCACCTGGCAACCCCCTGTCACTCCATAGTGCTGTCCTGGCCTCTGCCATTGGAGGCATTCTTCTAAAACCCGGATTTGGTCACATGGCTTCCCAGTGCCTACCGGATAAAGTCCAAACCCCTTTTCCTGACTTAAAGGACCCTTCGCCATCCTTGTTCACTGCTACCCGCATCTCCACCTGGTCTGCACCACACCCTTCCTATCCTGGGTCAGATGGTCATGTGCTCTCTAATCCCTGTACACCCCTCTTGGTGAAGAATGAACTTTGGGTCTGGGTTAGTGTGCAATAAACTGTGGCCCTTATAATATTGTGAAACCTGAAGCTGAAGTTCAGGGTGTTTTGTTTTGTTTTGTTTATTTTCTTCACCAGTAGGAGTTAAAGACTCAGATAAAGAACAAAAACTTGATAACATTTTTTTCTTTTTATGATGGTAGTAATAATATTAACTGTAGAAAATTTGGAGGAAAATGGTGAAAGATGGCAATAAAAAATCTCCTCTAATCTCGCCAGTCAGAGATAACTGCTGTTAACATGTTGGTGTTCCTTACAGTTCTGTGTATGTGTGCATGCACGCTTATGCGCACATCAACCAAGATCTAACTGTCAAAAAGAAATAAGGGCCTAAATAGCACCCTTTGATTCAAACCATTTTTGTCTCTGATTCAACATTGCTCAGAGACCCACCTTCCAGCCCTGAATCCAAAGGCAAAAGGAAGTGGCTTACTAGCAACTTTAAAAGTTTGGCTGTAAGTTGACAAAAGCTATCCAGGACCATAAACTTGGGCTCCCACACCTTTCCCGAAAGACACAGGCAGGTATCAGCACCAGGCATAGTCAATTGCAGGCCAAGAAGCAACTCTATGTGGGGTACGTGAGGGAGACAAACCCTAGTGCATGGCCAGGGGCTGTGGGTCTAGAGGTAGATCTCACACTGGAGCGAGTTTCTTTCCACCATGGAATGTTGCCATCTGGTGCCATATGGGAACCCCTATGGTCAAGAGCAGATCATGGGGCCAGCTGAGAATCCTTAATGAAGACTCCATGTCCATTCATGCACAAGTAGCCCAGAAACCAGAGCTGGCTTTTCCACGGCCAGTTTAATTGGGTTTAGGGCTAAACGTGGGTGTTTTGAAAGACATCAGGGTAGATCCTTTCATGCATACTTGGAGGGTTCATCCTCCATCCCCCAACTCTGGGGGTTACTTTAGGAAAATTAATGGGCTCTTTGTCTTCCTGTCCTAAGTTTCACATAACCCATGGGCTCTTGTCGTGAGGGCCATGTTAGCGGGAGCAGTCTTCTAATGACCTTTAGGTTCTCCTTTGGCTTCGTTGAGCTGGGAGCTCAGAGTTTTCCTTCCTTGGACTTCACATTTTTTAAAGGGTGTGGTATGGGAGTAGAGGAGGAACCCTGAAATAAACCCAGGGCTTTGCATCCCATATCCAAAGCTCTGTCCACAGGCCTAGCCGGAGGCTCTCTGGGGCCCTGTGTCACCCCATCAAAATAAACTGATGGTCATCTTTTCCCAATTTGTAAAAAAAAAAAAAAAACAAACTAATGGATTTTTTTCTTAACTTTATGGTTTTTGCCTATAAAATTTTGTAAACTTTTGGCAACTGTTATCTGTCTGCTACTGAGCACGAGCAGCTGGAAAAAAAAAGCAATAGTACTAATGGAAAACCTCAGAAATAGCTAATCATGTGTGGTTCAATAGCATGTTTCTTTATGGACATGTGTGGTCTTGGCTGTGAATTTGTAATGCATACATATAACATCACCCTATTTTACTGCTAGTGAAATTGTTCCTGAGTCATATGATGGAGTCTAACATACAAATATGGCATGGTATTTCTGCAGAGCACAACATGGTTTCCAGGTGCATTTCCACCTAGCAGGTTTGGAAGCAGCTCTCCAACTCCCTCTCAGCTGGTTGAGAAAGCAGGCGGAGCTGCCAGAGGTGACTGAGGGCGAACCGAGTGTGTCCATTCGTGCACAAGTTTCTAAATAAACCATAAATTTTACTCCTCAAAGTGGCTTTAGATGCATTCCTCTGGGGTGGTGGTAGTGGAGAATGGGCATGATAAAGTAGACTTAATAGAGAAGAATTTATTTTGGATGGGGAAAACTGTCTGATTTAAGAATCAGCAAGTAAAACCAACAAATAAACTATGAGTCCTCAAAAATCAACACCTAAAGCAAAAGAAATTGTCCCAGAACAAATTTCTCTGGTTGCTTTATAAGCATTATGCCCATCGCACATGGGTTAACCAGAGGGTTCATTCTGTGAGCATGGACAGTTTGGTCTTCAGCCAAGAGTGGGCCAGTTAGAGAGCAAAGATAAAAGCTGAAGAGATCAAAGTCCATCATAAACCAGTAAACCAGTTACCACTAAGTCAATTCTAACTCATGGTGACCCCATGTATGTCAGAGTAGAACTGTGTTCTGTAAGGTTTTCGGTAGCTGATTTTTGGGAAATAGATCTCCAGGCCTTTCTTCTGAGGTGCCTTTGGGTTAACCTTTCAGTTAACAGCCAAGCGCATTAACCGTTTGTATCACCAAGGGACTCCAAAGTCCCTCACGTTGTTGTTGTGTGCCGCTGAGTCGATTCCAACTCATAGTGACCCTGCAGGACAGAGTAGTACTGCCCCAGCGGGTTTTCTAGGCTATAATGTTTACGGGAGGAGATTGCCAGGTCATTTCTCCTGCAGAGCCTCTAGTAGGTTCAAACTACTGACCTTGAGGTTAGCAGCCATGCACTTTAACCACTGTACCACCAGGGCTCCTAAGTCCATCATAAACCAAAAAAATAAAAAATAAAAAAACCATACCCATTACCGTCAAGTCAATTCCGACTCATAGAGAACCTATAGGACAGAGTAGAACCATCCCCACAGGTTTTCTAAAGCTGTAAATCTTTATGGAATCAGACTGCCACACCTTTCTCCCACAGAGCAGCTGGTGGGTTTGAACTGCTGAGCTTTTTAACAGCTGGCCTCCTAAGTCCATCATAAAGACCAATAAATATTTGTGAATGCATGAAACTGAAAATATGCCCCATTTGATTCAGGCATTTGGCACTTTAGCTCAGAGACTGGAATGAAAAAGTAGATTTGAGTTAGTCCCTGGGACATGGCATGGCATCACACCTGTCTGCATGGACTGTTCTATCTTCTCCTTTGCTGGCATTTTTAAGTCACTTTCCCTTTAAGGTGGAGGGGCCTGGCAGAAAGAGAGAGAGGTAGTGAGTGCTCATGGAAGCTCATGAGAGATCCTTGCTTTATCATTTTGCAATCATCACAGACTTCCTTTCCTTGCCATCTTCTCTATAATGGTCCACAAGAAACTGATTTAGAACCCTCTGCTCCTCTGGGGGAGCCCTGGTCACATAGTAGTAAAGAGTTCAGCTGCTAACCAAAAGGTCGGCAGTTCAAATCCACCAGCCACTCCTTGGAAACCCTATGGGGCAGTTCTACTCTGTTCTATAAGGTCGCTATGAGTCGGAATCCACTCGATGCCAACGAGTTTGGGTTTTTTGTTTTTGTTTTTGTTTTACTCCTCTCGATAGAGTGACCTTTCTTCAAACTGTACAGGTTTGCCTCTCAAAAGGCAACGTACGTAACCAGACTAAGGAACTTATTTTGAAATTTCAGTCATAAATCTTGAGTCCCACTGATTTGATTCAGCACAGCTTTTGAAGATGTTCCACTTTTCATTCGAATGTAAGGTGATGAGATATGACATAATTCTTAAACATGTGTAACACATATGATTAACAGGAAAAAAAAAAATCCAGCCATCCTTTCAAGCAATCCTATCTCTGGCTTCTGCTTGAGGATATAGCGATCTGTAAGGCAGCCACAAACCATGGTAGAAATTGGAGGTTGACAGAACTCAAGCTCTATTTCCATGATTGTTTATAGCAGAGTATATATGTTAAGTATGTTTATCAATCATGTGGAAAGACATTGAACGCACTGTGAGGAGCTTCTATTTGAGTATGCTAGATATCTTATTTTTCCTTGGGTTTAATGCAGCGACATAGGAGGGAAGGAAGAGAGAACAGAATATTAAGCAGTTTATTCTGTGTCTCTTGGGTTAAGAGAGAAGGACTGTGGTTTGGTGGGAAGAGGACTGGCCTGGAGCATGTGTGGAAGGCTTGTGGGTAAGCGTGGGTGTCAGTACCGTCAGTGACCATTATGATTACTGTCTCTGATATTTGAGTGATGTAACAGATACTATGCTAAGCATTTTTCATATATAACTCATTTATTTGTCAAATATTTGAGTACTCTGTGCTTACAAACATCAGCGATAAAACAAAGATCACTGCTCTGTTCTCATGGAGCCTACACTCCAGTGTTGGGGGTAGTTGGAGAGGAACAGCCATAATGATTAAGGTAAGTCTTCTAATGTACTTCATTGGAGTGCCGGGTGGCACAAACCGTTAAGTGCTTAACAACTAACCAAAAGGTTGGTAGTTCAGACCCACCCAGAGGTGCCTCAGAAGAAAGGCCTAGCGATCTGCTTCCAAAAGGTCACGGCCTTCAAAACCTTATGGAGCACAGTTCTACTCTGCAACACATGGGGTCATCATGAGGTGGAATCAACTCAACGGCAACTGGCTTTTTTTTTTTTTTTTTGGTGAATGTACTTCATCAGTGCTAAGGAGAAAGAGGACAAAGTGCACTATCTCAGTGGAACCTCCTAGCAATCCCATAAAGTAGATGTTATTGCCCCAGTTTACAGATGAGTCTCCTGAGCTCTGTTCATTCTGCTATGTGAGGGGCTCAGAGTCTTTCTCTGTTATATGAAAGGGTAAGATTATATGGTTTATGATTCTAATGCAGGAATCTTCTCTCCCCACACATGCCCTACACATACACCCACAAAAGACTGTATGGAGCAAGCAAAAGGGAGGCCGTTGTGACTTGGACCCTTTAGTTCTGACAGGAGGCAGCTCCTGGGAAAACTGAGGGTGCTGGCTCCTAACATGGGCCTAGTTTGAGCCCTGCCAAGGTTATTTGTGTTGAACCCAAGGTTTCTTCCCCTTCCCCTTCATTTTTGTAAATAATTTCTGGTCCCAAAACAATCAAAAGAGAGTGAGCATCCATCTCAATGGAGTATGGATCTTTTCAAGTTTCCAGACTTGGAAATCCTTACATAATAATTAGGGGATCAGATACCACAGCTGAAGAACACATTTTTTCAATCAAATTAAGTCAGTGTTTGAGTGTTTTTGTTTTAAAGTATAAAATGGTGCACAAGTGTGTCTGTCTGTATGAGAGAGAGACAAATCATCAGCTGCGTGCCCTCTCTGAGCTGCCCACCTTTGCTTCTTGGCCCGTCCTTTCCCGGGTCCTGTTTGACATGTTTGGCTCCAATGTGAGCGACCAGCAAGCAGCTCTGGGCCCACTAGCACCATTAGAAATTCTCCCCTGTGGTCTTCCTTTTAATCACATGAGGGAAACCCACGAGAACACATGTGAATGATAGAAGTTGCCCCTGTTCAGAACACAGCAGAGGCACTTGGAGCTCTGGAGCTGTACTGGACAGTGAGGTCTAAGACCTACTGACCAGACTGAGGGACTCTCTGGAGGGCAGAGGTGGTTACTTTCCCGGACTTCTAAGAACAGTTCCACTGTGGAGTGGACTTCAAAATAGTTTGATGATCAATATCAGCAAGAAGATAGTTAAGCACCTAGCAGGTTATGGAGCATGCTTTTGTGTTCAGAGTTAGAAAGGGTTCTAGAAGCTGGCCTGGTTCTAACCAGCTGGGCAACTTGGCCAGAGGAAAAAGCTTTCTGTTGAGTTGCTAGGAGAGCCAGCAGATCTCTGCATCAGACCATATCTGTGTCTTTCCCATCATGTGGTAGGTGCCTGTCCAAGTTTCCGAATGCTGCTGTAACAAAAATACCACAAGTGGATTGCTTTAGAGAACAGATATTTCTTTCATTACAGTTTGGGGAGGCTAGATGTCCAAATTCGGTGCGTGGCTCTAGGGGGGAGGTCCTTCTTTGTCTATTTCAGCCTCTAGTAGTCAGGAATCCTTGGAGTTTCTGGGCCTGTAGATTCATCTGCCTCTGTCATCATCAGATATTGTCTATTTTCCCTCCTTGTGTGCTTTCTCCTGTGTTTGATCTGCTCTTTTTATAACTCAGAAGTGATTAGATTTAAGACATACCCTGCAGCGATATGGCCTCATTAACTTAACAAAGAAAACCCTATTCTCTGACAGGATTACATCCACAGGTGTAGGGTTAGGATTCCAGCACATATTTGGGGGGATGAGGGTTGGGAGAGGCACAATTCAATCCATAATAGTGCCTGTTCTTTTGATTTTGTATTTTTAAAATTTTGTCGTTTTTTAAAAATTATCCTGTCTTGCTTCCCTTTTCTCCTTTTCTTACTGCATGCATCTACCCTGCTGGCTCTTTTAAAACTGTGCTCCAACTTAACCCTCTTCATGCCTTCTTGGAGATCTCCGGTCACTATCCAGCAGACATTTTATTGAGTACCTGCTGTATGCCAGGCACTGTGCTAAGAGCACAGAGACAAAGAAGACAAATGCCGTCTCTGTCCTTGGGTAACTTTTTATCTCAATATTGGGAAATCAGCTCTGGTGTAACTAGTCCAAGGACCAGCATTTGGAAACCACTGGCCTTAGGTTATTTTAGAATTTCCTTTCTTTTTGTTTTTCAGAATTTACTTTTATCAGGCCAAAATCAACAATATCCCTTTGAGATATTTATAGAGAAAGCAGGAAAGTGCTTCGTGTTCCATGCCACCAAGCCGAGGGCAAGGCAATGCTTCATTTCACTTCAAATATTTATCTCAGTCACGGGAAAATGTGCGAGGAGGCCATGCCTGCTTGGCAACCTTGCCCTTGGCTTGGAGGTCTGGAATGGAAAGCGTCTTCCTGCCCTCTGCATGAGCCTGGGAATAACTGCTCCTGAGCCTTCCCCTCAGTGCCCACTCCAGAGCCATCTCTTGCATCAAGCCCTCCACAGTCATCACCACCACAAGTGGCTTCCCTTGCAGACTGCAGACTTACCTAAGTGTTTTTGCCACTCTGAGCCCTTTACTCTGTGGGGACATGTGGTCTTATACTTTTGCCTAACTATTCCATTAGATTATAAACCTCTTGAGGGAAGCCTCCGTCAGACCCAGTGCCTTGTACCTGTTGTTATTATTAGTTGCCATCAAGGCAATTCTGTCTCATGGCAACTCCATGTGTGCAGAGTAGAACTGTGCTCCTTAGGGTTTTCAATGGATGTGACGTTTCGGGAGCAGATTGCCAGGCAGATTTTCCAAGAAACATCTGGGTGGGTTCGAACCTCCAACCTTTCAGGCTAGTAGTCAAGTGCTTAACCATTTGTATAACCCAAGGACTGCCTTTCTTGTATCTACCAGGTGCTTAAAGAGAATTTGTGCCTTGGTTAGACTGTACTTCTGTTCTGGACATGATTGCTAGACCAGGTTTCACAGTTGTTTCTTGGACCCCACTGCTAGAGTTCATGTAAAGTTCTCCCAAGTCCCCTTTCCTTGTAGGAGATCAGAGCACAGCATGATGATGGACACTGCGGAGAATTCTTCTTCTTTTTTTTTATTGAATGAAGTTTACGTTTCAAGTTAGTCTCCCATACAGAATTTTTTTTTTTTATGTAGGTTGTTATGAGACCCCAACAGCTCACCCCATTCTGCGACAGCACACTCCTACCCTCCGCCCCTGATTCCCCATGAACATTCAACCAGCTCCTAACTCTCTCTGCCTTCCCGTCTCACCTCTGGACAGAAGCCGCCCCTTTGGTCTCTTGTATCTACTTGACTAAGAGGCACATTCTTCTCAAGTATCACTTTATGTCCCACAGTCCAGTCCAATCCCTGTCTGAAGAGTTGGCCTTGGACATTGTTTTAGTTCTGGGGTGATAGACCAGGGGCCATGCTTTCTGGGGCACCTCTAGTCTTAGACCATTAAGTCTGGTCTTCTTACTAGAATTTGAGTTCTGCATCCCATCATTGTACTGCTCCATCAGGGACCCTCTGTTGTATTCCCTGTCAGGACGTTCATTGGTGGTAGCTGGGCACCATCTAGTTCTTCTGGTCTCAGGCTGATGAAGTCTCACTGCAGAGAATTCTTAACAAGAGTTTTCCACACTCTGAGTGACATGTGAGGCCAAAAAGTTGTATATGAATGGACTTTTTAAAATTACATGTTTAATATAACGGGAAGTTTTGCAAGCCAGTAGAGAGGCACCCTGACACTGAAGAGTGCACATTTTCAGGAGGACAAATATGACTTGGTATAGAGTTACCTATTATAAAATATTCTTAATTAGAACATGCTCAAATTCACCCTAAGGATGGTCTCACACTTTGGAATTTGACATCGGAAAGACACTGCCATCACTGGGTCCTCAGATAATGTGTGATAAGAGTTGAATTGTTAAATTGCTGTTTCTAATGATTTTTGCTTTAATTTTAGGAATCAAACCCTGGTCAAATATCATGGAAATCCTGGAAGAAAAAGATGGGGTTGACACAGAGCTGCTGGTTTACACCATGACTTTAGTGAACAAGGTTGGTTGGTATTAAAGCTTAAATTAACCCTCTAAATACAAGGCTAAGCATGTAGACCCCCATCATGGGGGCCGGAAACACAGCTGCAGCATGTGCCTTCACAGGAGAAAACCCATATACATCCACATTTGTGCATATATGTGAAGGCCTATGGATGACTGCATGCTTTCATCTTTTCTAATGAAACCGGAAAGGTGACAGCAAGAATTTTATGACTACTTTTGCTATCAAGATGTCCTGTTAAAAACATTTTTCTTTACAAATGTAAATGAGCACATTTTACTCTAAGGAAATAGTTCACAAGTCAGGAAGAAATGAAGGGTGCTTTTGTTCCTGTGTATTGAATTCTGACTGCAGGAGAGAAGAATTCCTGGGGGTGGGCCCTACTCTCTTTTTATAATGGTGGCCACACCTTAGTGCCCCTGTTCCTTCCTCACATCCCTCCCTGGTCACCACCCTGCTAAACAGTAGGCCTCAGCACCTGTCCTCAAAGATGCTGCTCTGTGGCTATGGGTCCCATACTGACCTGGGACTGACCTGGACTGAAGAGTCCAGTGCCTCTGGTCCCTTCTCTGTAATAATTGCAGGGGACTTCTCCTGCTGACTTCCATGCCCTGAACCCAGGTACCACAGCAACCATGCCAGGGATCTTCTGCTTGTAATTAATGTGCTGCTGGGAGCAGGCCTATGAGACCAACTGAAGTGATGCTAATTCTTCAGAGAAGACCCAGAGTCTCTCCTTGAAATGTAACTGGGCACATGTTTCCCTCTGATTAACTGGCAGACAAATTAGTAGAAAGCAGCATAATTATGAGGAGTAATTTCTCTAACTAGATATTAAAGTGTCACGCACACTCACTCTAAGGATTAAAATAATGTCTCAGCTCGTTCACGATTGGAGCAGAGGAGCTCTGAAACAGACCCCAGTGTACAGAACAACTTGCCACACAACCCAAACCAACTGGAATGAGTTAGCTTCATTTATGTTTGGGGAATGTTTTGCTAAATGGAAAAAAACAAAAACATATTTTGATCATATACTGTATTTTTTGAAAATAATGTGCCCATGTAAAGAGCGTGGCCACACATACAACTCTTACGAAAATAATGTGTGGAGGGAGAGAGGGTTGCGAGGTTGGCAAAAATTGTATAACGCACATGCTATTTGTATAAAAATATAGCAGGTTTAATTCCAGGTAGATTAAAGAGTTAAATGTAAAAATTCAAACCATAAAACGAAATGAAACTAGAGGTGAAGGTTAATTGTTTTCTGGTTGGTGAAAGTTATTTTAATAATAAAACCAGTGAAAAAGATTCCAAAGGAAAGGACTTAAATATTTTACTGCATAAAATTGCAGAAGGTCTTATTTCTAAAATAAAAACCACAAATAAAAGTTAAAGGCAAATGACAAACTGGAAAATCATAGAAAATAGGGCAGAAATCCTAAAGAGATTAAGACTCCAGTAGAAAAATAGAAAACACTGGACCTAAAAATAAAAAGATAGTAAAGCAACGAGACATTTTTCCCAAGACATGTTGGCAGTGAATGCTTTTTTTTGGGGGGCAGGGAAGGGTAGGGGGAGAGGGATTCTTCCTTTTTTATTTTTAAATAATTATAGATTCACAGTAAGTTGCAAAGATAGTATAATATCAAAACCAGGAAATTGACATTGGTATAAAGTGTGTATATATATATATATATAGTTAAGTCTTATTATATGTAGATTTATGTAATCACCACCACTATCAAGATACAGAACTATTCCTTCACCACAAAGATCTTCCTCATGCTGCCCAAAAGTGGGTTCTTTGAATTTGAGAAAGAACAGGAAAACTGAAAGTGGGTATTTGATAGTCAACTAGCAATCCCTACCATGTATTTTTTTTTTTTTTTAAATACTATGTGTTGCTGAGGACACAGGAAACTCCCCTTCGGTCCTGATAAAGAATGGGCAATGGGCACACCTTTTCTGAAGGATATGCCTAAGCAATCTGTTTTTTATTTTCAGATCTACTGGTGAATTTATTTTCCTGTGTATTTGTAAGCAGTTTTTTGATTTTTTGGGGGGGGTTGGGAGGGGTCTTAGAGATTTTTGGTCAGTTGACTGTACTTTATTGTAAAAAGTGTTTTCACATGTATGCATGGTTTAGAAGCATAACTCCCAGGCTCCTCCCTCTTCCCGACACCTAATGGAGAAAAACTGAAAATGATCAAGGTCATCTATTTCTGGTCATCCTCAGTCACAGATGTTGTTTTGGAAAACACTGAATTCAGCAAAAATGGAATTTTTACACCCCTGCACAGTGTTATCCGTTGTAAGATGCCATCGGGAGAGGCCGTGCCTGACTGTTAGGACTGTGGCAGCACCCGGCACGATGTGGCCACTATGTTTGCCAGTCCCTGGCAAGAACCCAGTGTGTTTCACCCTTTGCTTGGCATCATATGGCAATTAAGGTGCAGGAATTCTCACTTACTCTTTCTCTTCTGGCAGTTCTGTCTCATGCTTTGTTCATTCCAGCCCAGGAGAAGCCCAGGAAGGTTCATGAGGATGTTACTCCAAATGGAAATCCTTTGCTCAAAAAGATGAACGCACCGCTGGCACCCGCACTGGTTTTGTTTTGTTTTGTTGAATTTTAGTCATGTTTATTGGCCCAGAGAGTAAAATCCTTTGAGATACCAAACAAAATTGGAAAGTTAATATAAGTCTGGAAAAAATTCAAACTCTTAAATCTGGGAAATTATTATATTGCAAATTGAGTGGTTTCTAACTTTTGCTTTCAACAAAATGAAAGATGGCTTAATAACATGGAATTCAAAACAAGGTGTTAATGGATTGAACTGTGTCCCCCAAAAATATGTGTTGTAAATCCTAACCTCTATGCCTGTGGTTAGGAGCCCTCATTGTGCAGTGGTTAAGAACTTGGCTGGTAGCCAAAAAGGTTGGCAGTTCAGATCTACCAGCCAATCCATGGAAACCCTATGGGGCAGTTCTACTCTGTCCTGTAGGGTTGCTATGAGTCGGGAATCAATGGGTTTTGATGCCTGTGGTTATACTGTTTGGAAATGGATTGTCTTTGTTATGTTAATGAGACAGGATTAATGTAGGGTTTATCTTAAGTCAGTCTAATTTGAGATATAAAAGAGATTAAACACAAGCTAGCAAGCAGAGATGGGGAAGAGAGATGCCAAGCCACATGAAGATTGCCCAGGAGCAGAAGCTCAAAGAGACAAGGACCTTCCTCCAGAGCCAGTACAGAGAGAAAGCCTTCCTCTAGAGCTGGCAACCTGAATTCTAGCCTTCTAAACTGTGAGAAATTTCTGTTTGTTAAAGCTACCCACTTGTGGTATTTCCGTTATAGCAGCACTAGATAGCTAAGATACAAGGGTGCTCTATTCTAGCTTGCCTAAGGCTCTGAGATTGAAGCCTGCTGTCTCTTTGTTAAACAGAGACAGTATCAGGGTAGTTTTCAAGGTCCAGACTCATTCATTAGATCTGAGAAGCATGAGAAATTAACCATCTTCTTACCCTGCAAGCTAATGTTATATAATGCCTTGTCTTAATCCAGTTGAAGTCCCCTCAGTGAGAGTCCCCAACTTGGGGAGGCTCAGGTTTTGACGACCTTGTAGAGTAGGAGGGATGTGTGACATGATGGGTTACTATGGGGCTGGCTTAGAACAGTCAGAGAAGGCAGGACCCCAGGGAACCCTGGGAGAGGATTGGCTCCAGCAGGGCTGGGGGATAATTAACCTGGATGGGATTCAAGCTGAGGATTGCTTTGTTTTCACATTTAATGTTATTGTTTTTTAGAGTTATTATCCAATAAAATTGATTGTTTTTGGTATAGTTATATGCATTTTAACACATGTATAGATGTGGTTAACCCCCACAATTAGGATACGGCACAGTTACAGCTTCCCAAAAATATCCCTTGTTATCCTTTTGTAATGACATCCTGTCCCCCTACCTGTAACACCTGACAAACACTGATCTCTGTCACTATAGTTTTGTCTTCTCAAGAATGTCAAACAGAATCATCCAGTATGTAAGCCTTTGAGGCTGGCTTCTCTGCCTTTGAAATTAATTTCTGTGGTTGCATGTATGAATAGTTTCCTCCTTTCTACTGCTGTGTAGTGTTCCATTGTATAGACACACCACAATTCGTTTATCCATCCTATTAAAGGAGATTTGTGTGTTTACAGCGTTTGACTTTCGCAGATAACACTGCCTTGGACATTCTGAACAGGTTTTTGCCACACTGGTTTTACCCTAAAACAAAGATTTGATGAAATAAGTGAAAACCCAGTGATGGGAAAGTAAAGTGTCCTTTAGGGCAGTGTTCCCCACCCGCCCCCACCCCCCCAACCAAGAGATGTCTATAAATACTTACTTGCCATGGGGCCTGCCTGGCAAGGCAAAGTCTGGGAGAACATGGGAGGAGGGGAACTACGAGGTGCCAGGCAGCTGTGCCCCGGCATCTAAGGGTGAAGGCTTCAAGAGACATCAGCCACAAAGAATTTTCTGGGTAGCTCCTACCTTTGGCAATAGTGGGCAACTTAGCAGTAGGAGTGGTAGGGTGGAAATGGAAGGGTCAGGGCCAGGAAGAGGAGGGGGCATGGTGAAATTTGCTGAGCTGCTAGAGAGTCAGCTGAAAACAGGTGAATGTGTATCTCTAGGGTGTGAAGTGCCCTCACGGCCCAGGAAGAGAAAGATGCTGTGTTCAGCTTTTTAAATTGGTGGCACATGGCCCTCTCCTTGTAGCATGGAAGGTGGTGGTGCATAGGTTTGACTCACGCTCAAATTTTCTCCAAGGAGCTGACCAATGACCTCTTACATACCTTCAGTTCTGGGCCTATTACAGGCAAGGGATTCCTTCCTGGGCCTGTTCAGTTCTATAGACCTAATTATTTGATTATTTAATAGTGATCCCCCAATTATGGTTGGTCTTGCTAAGCAATAGGAATTGTTGTTATTAGCTGCCGTTGAGTTGCCCCAAGTCATGGCAACCCCAGGCACAACAGAAGAAATGCTGCCTGGTCCTGCACCATCCCCATGACTGAAGCCAATAGAACTAGAACTAAGGAATTCAACCCACTAGAAAGGTCTGAGGGAGAGAACCTCAGTTGACTCCAACAATGGAGAAAGGGGAAGAAGAAGGGAGGGGGATGGAAAGGTGAGAAGACTGCCAGGGCCCTCTGTGCGCTCCTTGTCCTGGTCCTACACGTGTAGAAGGTTTTCATTCTAACTAATGCTACATGTCAACTTGCCTGCCTTCCTCGAATGGTGCATTTTGCAGAGTCAGCAGTCAGGCAGGACACCTCTTATCTCTAGCCCTGCCCAGGACCAAAGCATGAAATTCTTCTGATGACAGGATTTGTTGAATGGATGTGTAATTTTTCAATTAGTGTTGGAAGAAGGATCAGCTTAGTTGACTTGTTGTCTGGTAACACAGTGGGGGCCGCCATGCCCAGCGCCTACAGACACTGGTGTGAGCTTTCACACTGGACCACTTGAATGGGAGCACCTATTTATTACAGCTTCTATCCGAGGCACAACCTTCTGTTCTGTGTCCTTACTGGGCCCCTGATTAAGTAAGCGATCATATCCCAGTTATTTTTCATTAGTTTCTGATATCAGTAGCAGTGAGCTGTGTACTCTTTGCTCAGCAAAGGAAGGAAAAAGCCATTATTTGCATAGAGACATTCTTTCCAATATTGTTGTCATTGTGTGCCATCGATTCTGACTCATAGTGACTCTGTAGGACAGAGTAGAACTTCCTCATAGGGTTTTCTAGGCTGAAATCTTTACAGGAGCAGATCACCAGGTCTTGTCTGCCATGGAGAGATTGGTGGGTTTGAACAGCCAACTTTCGGTTAGTAGCTGATCGCTTAACCCTTGGGCCACCAGGGCTCCTTTTCCAGTATTAATAGTCCCAAAATAGAAGTGATAGAGAAGTTGGTGCTGTGAAATGATCCTTATGAAAGTGTTGGGAATATGTCTTCCAAGGCAAGTTGCCATGTTTAGATTATTTTGAAGTATACACTTAGTGTCCTTAGGAATGCAAAGGCAGTGAAATAAATAGGAAGTAAAGACCTGTGTCTGAAACTCCAGACTGCAGTAATTTGTGTAGAACAATGGAATATGTGAGAGGAGGAGACTGAAGTAGCAGCTCTGAGCCCAGGATTTTATCCTAGGATTTTTACTAAGTTCCTGGTAAACCAGTTGCCATCGAGTTGATTCTGACTCATGGTGACCCCATGTGTGTCAGAGCAGAACTACACTCTGTAGAGTTTTCAATGGTTGATTTTTTTTGAAGAGTAGATTGCCAGGCCTTTCTTCTGAGGCACCTCTGGGTGGACTCAAACCTCCAATCTTTCAGTTAGCAGCTGAACATGTAACTGTTTGCACCACCCAGGGACAACTTCCTGTCACTTTAGGCAAATTTCTTCCCTTCCCAGGCAAATTTATTCCCTCCCCAGGCCTTCATCTCCCTCATTTACAAGTTAAGAGGCTTCACCGAAAGCACCTGAGGGTCCCTCCAGCCTGTGGTCCAGTTCTGAGCAGGGGTCTGGTCTGACAGTAGCATCCTTTTTTAAGAGGCAGAATTCAAAGAGAAGTAAAAAAAGAGAATTCAGCTGTTTCTTTCCTGGATTATCTTTTTGTATCTTGGTTACTGCTTTAAATTCCTCATGTTTTCCTAAATTTCTTAGACTAAAAAGGAGGTCCTACTGAATTGAAATAAAAGGGAACCTATCCTTAAATTGTCATAACTCCAACTGTTGGTATATTGATCTTAGCAGGAGTCTCTAATTACTAAGTGTATTAGTTTTCTGTTGCCACATAATAAATTAAGACACACTTAGCCACTTCAAGCCACACGTATTTATCTCAGTTTCTGTGGGTCAGGAGTCTAGGCAAAGCTGGGTTCCCTGCTCAACATCTGACAAGGCTGCAATCAGGGTTTTGAGTGGGGCTGTGGTCTCATCTGAGGCCTGGGGTCTTCTTCCAAGCTCACATAGTTTTGGCAAAATTCATTTCCTTCTAGCTGTAGAACTCATGGCAGCTTGCTTCTTCAAGACCAGCAGGAGAACCTCTCTTCCTTTGAATTTCTGAGCTCAGGAAAGGCCTCAGCCTTCTTTTTAAGGGCTTGCCTGATTAGGGCAGGCCCACCCAGGGTAATCTCTCCTTTGATTAACTCAAAATCAGCTAATTTGGGACCTTAATTACATCTGCAAAATCCTGCATCTTTGCTGTAGAATGTAATGTAACCACAGGAATAGCATCCACTGAGGACAGTGTCCTGCCCACATCCAAGGGGAGGGAATTATACAGCCTGAATACACCAGGGACAGGAACCTTGAGGTTTATTGTGCTGATCACACTAAGGAAGTTTTTTTCTCAAGTGAACTTGTCAGCTGTCTTGCTTTGTTCCATATTGTTGTAATTGTGGCCACTGGATGTCATGTAAAAAAATGCCATGAGAGCTATGAGGCAGTCCCCTAAGCCTTGTCTGTTTGGTCCTTCTTCCAGACATTGTCAGGACTGCCAGACCAAGACACCTTCTATGATGTGGTGGACTGTCTGGAGGAGCTGGGCCTTGCAGCTGTGTCACAGAGGCACATGAACAAGAAAGGGACTGACCTGGACTTAGTGGAGCAGTTTAACATTTATGAGGTAACAGAGCATGGCTTTTTAGAAAACGTAATTTATTTTTGTTGTTATTGAGAATATATACAGCAAAATATACACCAATTCAGCAATTTCTACATGTACAATTCAGTGACATTGATTATACTGTTCAAGTTGTGAAGCCATTCTCACCCTCACTTTCTGAATTGTTCCTCCCCCATGAATAGAAACTTACTGCCCCCTAAGCTTCCTATTTAACTTTTCAAGTTGCTGTTGTCAATTTGATCCCGTATAGAAAGTTCTTTAAAAGAACACGATGCTCAAGGCAGACAGTCTTTACTAATTAAGCTACATCATTTGGTTTAAAGACTTTAGACTTTTGTATAAGGATTAAGGTTTAAAGATTATCTCAGGTCAGTAGTTTCAGGGGTTCATCCAGCCTTAATGACTCCAGAAAGTCTGGATTGCATGAGTTTGAAATTCTGCAGAACATGCCTTTTTTAGTGCACTGGATAGCTTCTGCAGAAGTCAGAGGCTGAGATAAAATAGAACCTAGGCCAGTGGTGCTGAATGTGGGTAGCAGCATAAGCATCACCTGGGAACGCATTAGAAGAAATGCAGATTCTCAGGTTCCACCCCAGACCTACTGAATCAGACACTCTGGGAGTGAGCCCAGAAATCTATGGTGAAACAAGCCCTCCAGGTGACTCTGATGTGCACTTAAATTTAAGGTGAAACTTGATAACTATTTTAAAGGACACTCAGGCTGTTAACAACACCTTGACTGAGGGTGAGAGAAAGTGATCACGTTCCTTACATCTAATGGGGATGGGACTTCAGGCAGGGTTAGCTCCATAATGTGTGGGGCCCAGTGCAGAATGAAAATGTGGGCCCCTTGGCTTAAAGGAGACTGGAGAAACCTCGAGAGTATGGCCCCCAGACACCCTTTTAGCTCAGTGGTGAAGTTACCTCTGAGGTTCACTGTTCAGCCTGGGAGTGGACAGCCCCGTAAAACCAAATGAGACTAACGAGGTACAGTAGTCCAGTGACAAGGGCCAGAAGGCAGAAGGGGACAAGGAAGCTGGTGATAGGGAACATAAGGTTGAGTAAGGATATTGTTGATGTGTTGTGAGATTGTTAACCATTGTCATAGGGCAACATATGTAGTAACTGTTAAATGAGAAACTATTTTGTTCTGTAAGCCTTCATCTTAAGTGAGAATAGCAGCACAATTGGAAGAGCGTAGTCAATGTCACTGAACTGTGTATGTAGAAATTTTTGAAACGGTGTATCTTTGGCTATGTGTATTTTCACCAAAAAAAAAAAAAAAGGTTGAGAATTTAGAGGGTTAATATGTTGTGGGGTTGTTAACCAATGTCATAAAACAACATGTGTACTACTGTTTCATGAGAAACTCTTTGTTCTGTAAGCCTTCACCTGAAGTACAATAAAATATAAAAAAAAAAAAGAAAGAAAGAAAATGTGGGCCCTTTGTTGAAAAATCAGGAAAAAAGTGCTGTTAAGGGCACTAAAAGACTTTTTACTTTTTTTTGTAATCTCTCTTGGTTTGTTAGTGTTTTTTTGGTTTGTTAGTGTTTTTTTTGTTTGTTTGTTTTGTTTTTGTTTTTTGTTTCTTCCTATTAATGTCATTGTAGGTAAAGAAAAATTAAAGCTTAAGATTATTAGCATGGATTTTATCCTGAGGGAGTGCACATTCCAGTGAGGGAGCAGACAGTGACCGAGGGAGTGAAGAAGCAGAGAATCCCAGATTGTGATCATGTTTATGAAGAAAAGAGACAGGATGTGGTGGGGGTGAGAAGCGGAGGCCAGGGGCGAGGAAGGCCTGTCCGAGGTGATGGCTGAAAAAGGGTGAAGGAGGAAGAGTGCTGAGCCCGGCTTGGCCTGTGTGAGGGTAGTAAGGAGGTTGGTGTGACTGGAGGGTGGAGAGGTTGGCATCCTGCCCAGGCTGCATCCCATGGGACCTTCTCTTGTCCTTCCCCCTCCTGACTCCCTCCAAAACAGGGTGATTCTCCTGAAAGTCCTATCTGACCATGCCATTACCCTGCTTAAGAAAATAAATAATTAAACAAAACCCTTTTCACAACCAGCAGGATGAACCCCCAACCCTTTGCCTTGATATGGTACAAGGGCCCCACGCAGTCTGTGACCTTCTTGACTCTGGCCATTTCCAAGAGGCCTGGTAGCGCAGTGTTAAGCACTCGGCTGCTAACCAAAAGGTTGGTGGTTCAAATCCACCAGCTGCTCCAAGGGAAAAAGATGTAGCAGTCTGTTCCCATAAAGATTTCAGCCTTGGAAACCCTATGGGGCAGTTCTGCTCTATCCTATAGGGTCCCTATGAGTTGGAGTCGACTCGAAAGCAATGGGGTGGGGTTCTGAGTGTTTTGCTTCTGTCCTCACCTCTGATCTAACAGTCCTCAGGACTTTCCTACCTGTCTGATTCCCTGTGAGCTACTTAACATCACATAGATTATTTCTTTCTAGCCTCAGGGCCCAGCACCTGCCCAGAGTAGAAGTACAGTAAGTGCTTGAATGAAGGTTTCCAAATACCACACGTTTTATGATGGAGTTTGCCAGATACTGAGTTGAAGGCAGCACTTGATTTAATCATAAAGCACCTACCTTAAGGGGCAAATGCCCTGGATAATAACTCAAGATGACAGCTGAATGCTTTAGATACCAGACAGAGTCAGGGTTTTTATTTCTTTTTTTAATTTGCTGCCATAAGACAGCCAACTTCAGTACATACAGGGGTAGCAAGAAGGCCTTCAAGCACAGCCAGTGTTCCTGACAAAAGAGTTTGAATGTTCTCAAACAATTGCAGAGAACTTGGTTGGGTTTCTAGAACTTTTCCTAATAGTGGAGGATGTCTGGTACCATGTGTTCCAGTCTTTCTGGGGATAGGCCCAATTCCATGTAATTTTATTCCATTTAAGAAAGATGATTTGGTCTATGTTTAAGTAAATTCATTTGAGTTTTATAGCCTCATATGACTTTTCAAATACATAAATTCATAAATCAAAATATAAATCTTTTTCAGATCATATGGTCTAACTTTTGGTTCTGAAAATGTAGTCCCTGGAAATGGAAAAGGCATCTTAAGGCTGAAGACTATGTGGGGAGAGGTAACTGTTCTTTTTAGAAGTAATTAGCTAATAGGTCCAGCCTCTTAAGATCCTTCCTTGTCAGAGGTGATAAAAACCTTGTATTAAGAGTTGTTCTTCCCAGGTGTTTTCCAGCTTTTAGTGTTTTTAACTCTAAGCTGCAGTACTCCCTAGAATCAGAAGAATTTGGAAATGCCGTGGTAGCCCTGTCTATGCAAGTGATGTTTCTATTCCTGTCATCGGCAGATACTGGTGATTCTAGAATTCTTATTATAAATGCCAACCCACGAGTGAACACTATCCCTAAATTTCATATTACATTGTCGCTGAGTGCCAAGCCCCAGGCTGCCACTGGATTTGTCGGGATTCTTTGCCCATCCTCCCCCACGCCTGCCCTCCCACCATGTACTCTTTTTTTCCCCCACAAGGAGATAGTTGTTTTCTAAAGGATCTGAGCTTTGGACAACCCCAACTGGATTCCATTTTATGGCATTGCCTTGATAATTTTCTAGATCTTTCTTTTCATTTAAGCTTTCTGACTGTCCCCGTTTTCTTTGGCAAAAGGCAGTTAATGTGGATTTCACTACACCTAGCATGTCTCTCTGAAAGGAACTGTGAACAGAATTTTATTCACTCCTTAGATCTCTGAGGTTAGGAAAGGAATTAGAAATATACAAACTCTACTTTAGACTCTAATCTTATCATTCCAAATGTGTTTAATAAGAAGCAGTATCAATACTTCAGGTCAGAATAAGTTCAAATGGTCTAGAATTTTTATATCTAAAAATGAGGGAAAATCAAATACAGTCATGTTCGGACAGTGTCCAACCGCATATATGTCTGTGGTCCCATAAGGTTATAATAAAGTTCAGAAATCCTGATCGAGAACGGGATGTAGTGGATGTAACTGGATATATAGCGAAAACAGCAGCTTCCTGCATGCAACACATGTATCTCATGTCTCTTGTATACAAAGTGATTGCACTGCCAGGCATATAATGGTACAGTACGTACATAACCTATAACACATATGTCTTGATAGTCATAATAAATGCCTGTGTTACTGGCTTATGTACGTACTGTACTGTACTTTCTATTGTTATTTTAATGTGAACTTTCTCTACTTACAAATAAAATGTTGACCGTGTAACAGTGTATGCTTTGACTTGTAGGCAGCAGCATCCAATATCCTGTATTGCAGGTCTCTTGAGTGTTGTGGCATTCTCTCTCTGTTTAATTTTCTTTCGAAAATATTACTGTGAAGTGCATCATGGCTCCCAAACATAGCAAAACCAGTGGTAGTGATAACAGCAGCAAGAGGCAAAGAAGTATCGATTTGGAAGTGAAACAACAGGTATTCCGTTTAGCTTTGCTAAGTATATAATAGGTGTTTGTACAACGTCCAAATCACATAACATCTTGTTTCACAGAATGTATCATGGATGTTAAGTGACACGTCTGTAATTGGCTAGAAATAGTAAAAAATGTGGTCCTTGATTAGGTGTATGACAATCTTCAAACTTTCTCCGGAGGATGCTGTTTAAAGTGTTAAAGTTGAGATGATAAATGTGATTGACCAAATGCATAATTCCTTTTTTAGTTTTTGCGGTTGTCACTGGATAGGCATTCCCCAGGAAATAACTTTCCAATGAAATTTTATAAAGATAGAGCTTTAGTGGAACTCTTATCAATTTTTACTTCAATTCTCCCAAAATTATGTCTCTGACTAGGAAATTCTGGGGTAATAAAATAGTCAAAAGAGTATTCAGTTGTGTTCATGTATTTGAGAGTTCGTATAAAATATATATGGCATATAGAAAGAAGAGTTCACTAAATTGATTGTATCTGAATGCTGGAGGAAACTGGGAGTAGAGCAGATAAAGGGCGGATGCACTCCTGTTGGACTGTGAGTCTCAAATGCTAATAGGACCCTGTGAACCAGGATGGGAGTGGCCAATTTGGCCTTGCCTTGGCCAAGCTCACCTTGCTAAATGAACACAGGTGCCAAAACTTTGGACATAGACCACAATTGATTTTGCAATAGCTAGATCTTCTGTAGACAGGTTATGGTTATATATCTGGGCCTTTATATGACTTTTCCATGCTCTCATGTCAAGACTGCGTTGTGAAATGTGACTGAGAGCACCCACAAGACGAGAGAACTTGTACCTTTGGGGATTTGGGACTGTGACTCCCTGGTTGCCAAGTCAGAGGGACTGCTGGACTTGGTTGGGCCTGGTTAACCTGGGCAGCAGGGTGGACTGTCTAGTCAGTTCCATGTGATGGGGGGATTTATGGGCATCCTAGGCCACTTCATCTGAGGACATGGGTGGGGGAAGTACAGTCGTATATCCTGAGCACCAGCCATGGGATAAAGCCCTATCCTAGATGCTTTACACAGGTTATCTTATGCCATCCTTACCATGAACCTGCAAATATAGTACTGTTATCCTCACTGGGTGAGCTGGAGAGAGGGTAAGTAATTTGCTACAGGTCTCACCTGGTTTGATGGTGGCGCAGCCAGCATTCACACAAGGATCTTTCAATGCCAAATCATGTGGTCTTTTTACCATCCAGTTTTAGAGAAGGTGGGTATAAAAATATTAACGAAGCCACAAATACAGATGAGTGTAGCCCACAGCTGGGAAGAGTGAGCTTAGATTAGGAGCAGAGCTGGCTGCCAGAAATGAGCTGAAGGAGAATTGGATGAAAGGACAGACAGTTGGTTTTAATGTGGGGCAAGAAGGCTGCAGGGTAGGATCCAGGACAGAGTGAGATGAAGAGATGGGTGAGCTGGGCCTCTGGAGGGGGCAGCAACTAGGAGCAGGATTAAAATATCCTTGAGCGAAGGCAGCGGTACCAATGAAGGATGGTACCAGTGGCTCAGGTTTTCACGTGAAAGCAGACGTGGCAAAATGTAAGTCAATTATTATTCTGTACAATTATCCAGCATTTCCAAGAGGAAATTAAAAAAAAAAAAAATCTATCTTCTAGGGGTCAAGCTTATATCTGTTATATGTTTGTGACTTGCATGGACAGGCTGTCTGGTGTAACTGCAGGCTTCACCTGCAACCCTGAGATCAGGCTGCTGATGGTAGCCTGATAGCCACAGCAGCTGTCAGCCAAGATTCTGAAATCAAGCAACCCGTGCTGCTGTACTTTCTCTCCTTCCAGTGCCATCAGATTTCTTCCAACTCATGGTGACCCCACGTGCATCAGTAAAACTGTGCTCCGTAGGGTTTACAATGGCTGATTTTTTGGAAGTAGATCACCAGGACTTTCTTCCAAGGTGCTTCTGGGTAGACACAAACCTCCAGCCTTTTGGTTAGTAGCCAAGGGTGTTAATGTTTGTACCACCTAGGGACTCCAAGAAGTTTTCTGGGTGAGGCCAGTTCCCACTCACCTGGATCTGTGGCTCCCACCTCTGACCAGAATCCTTGCTGTGCTCTTCTGTGCCCTCTCTTTGAGAAAGCAGGCTCAGGAATGACCAGGAACTGGCCACCACTGCGCTTCAGGTAGGACTCAGCCTCTTGGACCAGAGAAGAGCAAAGGGTAGGCAAGGAGAGGTTCAGGCCTGGGAGATGGAAATGCTGGGGTCCAGGTTAAAGGCCCTGTCTAATTACACAGTGGTCCTCAGACCTACTCATGAGACTGGCTGTCCTTTTTGTGTCCACTTGATTGGAAGAACGCAGAGTGGCCAGCATCGCTCAGGCTGCAGACTGTGCTTTGGGACACAGGTAGTAGAACCTTGCAGTGATGCCGAGGCCCACAGGTTGGGAGAAGACAAGGTTAAACCCTCTCTGCTTTTTCAGGTGGCACTCAGGCACGAGGATGGCGATGAGACGGCCGAGCTGCCCCACAGTGGGCGCCGGGACCGGAGGAGGGCCAGCCTGTGTTCCAGCGGCAGTGACAGCAGCGGGCACCAGGGCCTGGACCGCAGGAGGAGCCGCAGGCACTCGATACAGAGCATTAAGAGTACCCCGTCGGCTCCCACCAGCCCCTGCTCCCAGTCGGCTCCCGGCTTCAAGCCCAGTCAAGTGCGAGATCCCAGTGAAAAGTAAGCATCATCCTAGCAGTGGAGAGGGGCACAGGACACAGAAGAGGGAGGGAGGCCACACCCCACAGGTGCCCACCATTGTCCCCTCCCCACTGGCCCCATAGGGCCCTCAGTTTTGCTCCCTGCCCCTTGTCTACCATTAAACCACAATCCAGAAAATCCCACACCTTCCCAGGGCAAGGTGGCCCAGGTGGCATGCACAGATTTGATCTCACCACCTTCATGAACTCTTTTTCAGCCACTCGTGTTTTTGTGTTATTTAATATCTCAATTAATAGATGTTCAGGAAAATGTTTGCTTTAGCAAATGGTGAAGAATCCAAAACTAAATCTTAGGCCTAGAAACAAATGGTATGCCATGGTATTAGTGTGAGATGTGATACTTGTGGCAATTCATAGTTGGGTTGGTTTTAGTTAAATAGAATAAACCTGCATGAATTAAAAAAAAAACTGTGTTTCAGTAGATGCTAATGATTTCATTTATTCAGTTAGTTATTTAGCAAAAATTTTTATTGAGTGTCTGTTATAGGCCAGGACTATCCAAGACTATCCAAGGACTATCCTATATATAAATGGAAAAGGTATAATCTCTGTCCTTATTATGAATCTCACATCTGGTGGGCTGAGAGAAGATAAGGATAAGAAAGGTAGTAGATAGGAAGAAATAGAAAGATTGATAATCCCATGAGAAATTATATATATATTCAAAATGTAGAGTTTGACAAAACTATGGGAAAGCTGAAGTGGTTCCATAAAAGGGAGGTGCAGCAAATGGGTGCCTTGCTGCTCTGGGTCTGGGATCAGGTTATAGCTCCCCAAATGGATGCTGTCCCTTCACTGGGATAAGGGGGCTCTGTGGACCAGTCCTTACCAACCAGGTCCACAGGGGCCTGACTGATACACTGGGGTGCCCGAGCACGACTTACTGCTGCTGGCAGAGTGGAAGCAGCGCTTACGTCACTTGGAGGGAGCGATTTCCCCATCGTGTGGATCCTACTGGCAGCCAAATTTAGGTCAAGAGGCTAATTGGTGAAGAAGAAAATAACTCAGAATAAGCTGGACAAACTTAGAAAGAGAGCCATCAAGATATGTCCCTTCCTCTGCATCCCTAGTGGGACACCCCACCATCACTACCACCAATAGCTGCTCCGAGAGGTACTCATGGAACCACTTGAGCCTTAACCAGCCCATGCCTTTAGGTGCCTCTTATCCCAGACGAGAGAAGAGTATTGGTCTTAGAGTTGTTGAAACCGTTCTTTACCACGTAGCCCAGGGACCCTCCATCTATAGGTTTTTCTGTTTCTGAGCGTTTTTGTACAATAAATTCTGTTTTAGTGAAAAGAAGACCTAAACTTCTAAACACATGGAGGAACGAGAAGTTTTACCATGAAAATTGCGCTTTGAGATCTAGGATCTCAAAAACTCAGGCTCAACATAGGGCACCTGGAGCACCTGGAAGCCCTCCTTTAGTATTGTTCCCAGCCAATGGCTTGAGAAATTAGTATGGAGATGTTAATGTGTGCAAAGGGCTGAAGAAAATGTACGCAATGGACTGAAAAATCTATATTGAAAACCACCAAAGATGCTGACGGGTAGGAGCTAAGCGGGCCTTGCAGAGTATTCTCTCACTCTGTCCCCTTGTCTCGTGTTTGTTCCTGGTTTATTTGCTCCTGGTCTATTTCTTGCTCTTACACTTTTCAAAGGTCCCCTATGTTGTGAGTTCAGTGCCAGTGCTTTGTGACTTTCCAGGTTGACAAGACTAACAGCAGTGGAGCGTACCATCCCGGGCACAGTTCACAGTCCCGAGGTGCTGGGCTTGGTGGATTCTGGAACTGGAGGCCCTTCTGCTCTGAATGCTGCTGTATTTTTTATTTTCAAATAGGGCTAATTTTTTCATTTTATCTAAATTATTACTTTAACATAAATTTAGTAGCATTTGTTTGAGAACAATATGCTTTCCAGCTTACAAAGACAGATAGCAACTTAGAGATTGATGATCATGAGGTGGCATCAGCCAGGAAGCCTGTTGGAAGGATTTTGCCCTGTGGCCCCAAAGTGACAGCATAATTTTGGCAGAGGTGGGAGTGAGATAGAAGGAAAGGGTGATGAGAAGCAAAATGGGAAATGATCCCTGCGTGCATAGCTTAGTCACCTGCTCAACATCTGTGCCTCGAAACAGTACCTTAGAATCAAGTAGCTCATTGCGTTACATTCCCTGTAGACCTGAAACACACAGAAGCATGCCTGCCCTAGATTGCGCTTACGCTATGTGAATATCCTGGCTGTACTCTCTGCTAATTTGTAGCATACGCCACATATGAGGAATTTTAGGCTGGATTTTATAACTCTGTGACCCAATTAATGCCAACACTTTTGAAAGGAAGCTAGAAATACGTTAGAAGTTAGAAAGAGATTCATATTGTTCTAAAATATATACAGCACTCTAAACTCAGTCCTTTTCATCATTTGAATTAATTCTCAAAACAATCCTCTATAGGGTCTGGGTAAGGCAAGAGACATCATTCTTATTTTACAAGTGACAAACAGAGGGAAGATGCCTTGTGCCGTATTGTGGGAGTAGGGGGCTGATCAGTAGTTTAAATCACGTCTTTGGTCCTTGACTCTCAATGTCCAAAGATAAAAAACTACACCCCAACCACCCATTCCTAAACATTTTCATTGAGCAAGATGAGATGGAGTTTGATTTACATGCCTTGTAGTTGTATTTTTATTGAGGTAAATGTAAAACTTCAAAGAGAAGTTGAGAAGTCTTCCTACAGACTTAAGCCTGCTAGGCTGTGTGCTTTCATTCTGATAAAGACTAATGACAAGACACTGAGCTCAGATTGGGTTGCTTTTGTTTCTTAAGAAATAGACCTCCACACTGAGCATCTGCCAAATCAAGTACAAGTTTACTGGTCATCTGTCCCCTAAGAGCATCTTTATTTGACTGTGTGTGCCGTAATGAGTTTCATCTTTGTGCTGAAATTGTACAGATTTAATTGGAAGGAAGAAAATTCATGGTGCTTTCATTTGTTACTGAGAACATTGTGGTTGGCATCTAATTAGCAAGATAATCAGGTCTCTGGTTTAAATTGTAATAGTATGTAGTCTTAGAACTGAGAAGTTCTTCAGGGTTGTCTAGCCCAAAGCAGGAATCCTTTCTGTTACATTTCCAAGGGATGGGGTGCACTTCCAGGCTGAGTGCTCTCCTCCCCAAGGTGGCCCGTTCCATCCTTGAGCTGTTCAGCTTGTTAGCAAAGTCTTCTGACCTAAATTTACCTACCTAGTTTTTCCCTATTCATCCTAGTTCTTAATTACCTCTGTCAACACACAGCAGGTCTCCTTCCTGCTCCGTATGTCAGTCTTTGTATTTGAACATTGCATGGGACTTAACGCGCAAACTGTAAATTTCATCCTGTTGATCTCCACACAGCATTCCAACCTGTAGCAGTAATTTTGAACTTCATTCAGTCAATAATGTTAGCAGTTGTGCCTTCCAACTCTTAGTCATGTGTATATTTTAATATGCATGGAAGAGTGACCTGGCGGAGAGTGGATGATGACAACAGGTTGGGGAGCGGATGGTACAGACTGCAGGGACTGGCAGACTTTCTCTGTGAAGGGCCACATAGTAAATATTTCAGGCTTTGCAGTCCAGTCTCTGACAGGAATGAGGCACATATGGATGCCAAAGTTCTAGGTTAATGCATTGCCCTCACGTCTTGTCCACAGGAGTTCATTGTCAGGGATTCCAGAATTCATTCACTGATTACCTGCAGGGTCTAGAGCAAAATAGCAGAGTGGACCTACCTTTCTATTTCTAGGAAGTAGTTGGTAACAGACAATGGATTGGCAAGCAAAAAACAGATGAGCACAGTGGATGCGGTGCTGCATTATCAGCCTTAACCTACAAAATCTAGGTCTCAGGAGACCTGTTCAGCCCGGACTCCTGGAGGAAGGTTTGGCCACGTGTAGTAAAGGAGCCATGGTGGCACAGTGGTTAAGAGCTTGCCTGCTAACCAAAAGGTCAGAGGTTTGAATTCACCAGCTGCTCCTTGGAAACCCATTGGGGCAGTTCTACTCTGTCATATAGGGTCACTATGAGTTGGAATCGACTAATCGGCCACAGGTTTTTTTGTAGTAAAGGAGCCGAGATTGAGAGCATAGATGTGGTCTTCAGAGCCACAGACACAGCTTCCTCCCTAGGTTTGACCTCAGTCTTCTCACCTGACAACTCAGGATCATGATACCTCTTTAGTAAGGTGGTGGGAGGGTTAAGAGAGACAGCACAAATATGTGCTTAGCTCAGAGCTATATTATTACCGTCACTCCATGCCCTGGAGCTTTCTCGGGTATTGTTCTATTAAAGAAGGTAATTGTTAAGTAAACATGGACATGAACTATAGACAATATTTTGTGCACTGCCATAAACATGCTAGAGGATTTCACAACAACCGGATTAACAGCCACTGATACTGTAAACAGCAAGTAGCTACTTGGGAAGATTTATTTGATGGTAAATGATTCGTTATAAATGAGATTCACTGACAAAGGATGTGACCTCCTGATGCAGGTATGATTGGAATACAGCCAGAGATTCAGACTTACCATTTAATGTCCAAGAGGCTGTTCTTGGCTTCCTGAGTATTGAGGAATGGGCTGGCGGGGAGAGGATTTGGAAATGGGGGGAACCTACATTAAGTAAAGACAGAGGCAGTGAGGGAGGCATGAGCCTTCTGATTTCTGGGGCAAGATTTCTGGTTTCTCAAAGATTCACTTTGATCAGATTGCATATTTTTTGTAGCTTTTGACTTTGCTAAATTGAATTTGGGGATCTTTCTAGGTTGTGAAGAAATTGGCATAATTAAAATATATTTCTTATCAAATACACATTTTATATATAAATTTTATATACATACATATGAATACATATATACATGTGTGTGTATACATATATTGTGTGTGTGTGTGTATATATACACACCCACACACACACAC